CAGCGGGAAACAGACCCTCTAACCCTGACCGTACTTGTTTTACATTGAAGATCCTTTTCCAGAAGGTTTCAAACCAAGGAGCACTAACTATATAGGAATTCAAAATAACAGGGCCACCTTCACATTCCGGCACCCAGTCCAGGCCACACTCCTCATCCCTCACACTTTCTGCTGAGGCTGCCAACAGAGCTGACAGTTTTGGGAGGAGGATTTTGGAACGCGACCTTTAAACTCATTTAACTGGGGGCATCAAAGAACCAGTGCTTATAATCCCAAAACCTACTGAAAAAAATTCCCCCTGATGTCAGCAGAAGCTGCAAGTTAACAGCAGCGCTCAGAAATGGAGTTAAAGCTCAACACCAAATGATGCTCTCTATGACCAGGATTATGAGCACAACAGACACCAGAGAAAATGGGGAAATAACCCTTCCCAGGAGACTGCTAGAGCCAGAACAGAATCTTGCTAAGGACATAAGTCATTTTGGGGAAAATTTGGGGAGTGGAATTGTAGTTTGAATCTGTTTCTCATCTCTGTCTAGTTTTTTTTCCCACATACTAATATTCTCACAGTGTCGTGTCTGACTGGAGCAACAGCTGAGTCAATAATTCAGCATGTCTCTAAAACCCCTCATCACATATCAGCTGAGAGAAAAGAAAAAAAAAAAAGTCTGTACCATCTCCAAACCAATTTGGCAGCTGGAACTCTGCTGAGAGAGAGTGTTTGTGGGAGAATGCAGCAGCAAAGCTTCCTAGCAGAATAGCTGTTAAATTCCCCATGCTGGCAGTACAGAGAGGGGGACAGGTTTTAAATAACCAAGATATCCTGTCCCCAGCCCCTGCTGTTGACACAGCTGGCCATGTCTGAGCGTGTACTACAAATAATGCAGCGTGCCCAACCAAAACTGCAATGGCGAGAGCAGCAGGTCACATGAAGTCCATCTCTAGAACAGTTTATGTTATACCACCACCAGCACTGGCCCCATCTGCCTCCCGCCAGGCTCTTATCTCCATCTACTATTTCCTTCGTTTCTAGCTTCTCATTTAGGGATCATATTTAACTCCATTAAGTCACCTTGTGGGCTAGGTGTAACTCAAAATAGCCAAGATATCAGCAAAGCACTTTGGCGTTTTGACTTGCAACTTCTGCTTCGATCTTTAGGCCACACTTCATTTTATAACACAGACAAGCAGACTGAAAAAGCTGAAAGAATCCCTGATAATATTATCTTCCTGTCACCACCCAAAGCTAGGCTACCAAAAACAAGCCCAAAAACCCCAAACCCCTATCCTTTTTGCAATCCAGACAGGGGGCTTTTTTTTTTTCCTCTTTGTCTCAGAACAAAAGACTTATTGCTGCCTCCAAGAGTTTTGCAAGGGGATAAAGCAGATCCAGAAATTGCAAAAATCCTCTGGCACATCTGCAAAGCTGATCTGTTAACAGCACTATCCTTCTGTGCTGTCCCTTCTGACAGCAATACTCCTTTCCTATATTGGCTATAAAATCAGACTGGGAGATTAGGCTGCTGAATCTCTGTCTTTAGAGGTTTTTTTGGCTGCACAAATCTACAGTTCACCTCATCTATTGTCACAGAAAGCTTGCTTCAAGCAAAAGGATGGACTAGATGACACCCAGAGGTCCCTTCCAGCCAACATCCTACGACTTCATGGAAACTGAGGTGAATAGATCCCTGTCAATAGATAATTTTTGATTTTCTGCCAGAGGTTCCTGCACTCAACAGGCTACTCTTCCTGCTCGCGGATGCGAACCCCTCCTTCCTGCCTCACTTGGCTTTCAGCAATTGCAGTTTTGAAGTGGGCTTTGCCACTGGGTACCCCCTTGACCTGGGCAGCTCACCAGAAATATCCCAAACGCGCACAGTCTGATCCAAGCTGGCTGACACTACCAGGTCCTCAGAGGGGTGAAACTGGGCACACATCACATAGTGGTTGTGTCCTGTCAGCACGCTACAACAAAAAGGACAGAAAATACCATTTAAACATAAGATATATTAATACACATTCCAATTTGCAGCAACAGCAATGAGCTCAGTCTTGGGAAGGATGATGAGGAAAACAGGATTGCTAAATGCGACTCTTCAAGAGTTAGCATGACTGAACATTGAGTGCATCGGCTCTTACAGAGAGCATTCAAGGGCCGACTTTCTGACATCAGTATCTTCACAGGCTTCAGCACTGATGCGTATTATTTTAAACCTCAAAACATTTTCCACCAAACAACACGTGAATATACGAACACAAGTCTAGTGGCGTCAGAATAAACGAGCAAAGACAAGACTGACGGAAATATCCACAACTGATCAGTTCTCTTTGTCAGCTCTATTCCTTCAACTAAGCACGTTTTCTGCTGAAAACAACAAATGAAAACAGCTTGCCCCCAAACCACACAGTTATTTTTTTCAAGCACTCGTTGATTTTACCAAACACAAGTTCTGGACTGCCAGTTCCAAACCCGAATGGTCTGGTCATCAGAAGCACTCAAGATCCAGGGATATTCCTAAAAAAACAAAATATTCTGAATATGAAATAACACACACCCCAGTCATTTCCTCCCCACACAGTATTATCCAACTGTCCCCAGGAATGACCCTTTTTAAGTCTTATTTAAGATCTTGTAGGCAGAATTTATGCCTCTTACGCCTCTACAGACGGCCAATGTATTTGGGATGCCCTTATGCAAGTCCAGCACAATTTATTTAGCGAAGATTCCCATCCAGGGAAGCAAAAGGCAGATTCCCTTCCACACACAAAGGGAACAGGCACCCATCACTGGGGTAAGCAGGAGGGGAGCTTACGTGGTGGAAGAAGGTAGTGCGAATATAATCCAAGTGCCCAAGCAGAGTGAAGAGACAACGGCGCAATTTGTAATTCCAGACCTGAACAACACAGAAGCAGAACAATGACATTATGTGCCACCGCCTGCCAGATTTGTTTGTGCTTTCTCATGTTTCAGTTCACCTACAAGCCTTTCTCTTTCATTTTAAAATACTTTTCTAACGCAAGCTACGAAGAGACTTCAACTCACTGCAGTTAACTCCAATGTTTCTGAAACAGGAGAATTACAATTCCCACCCACCATTTCCCACTCACCCATGCTCTTTCTCATCTTTTAACCAGTTTATTTGCACATTCCCTTCCCTGGATGATGCCTTTTAGAGAACAAGAGCTAAAAGGATAACATTTTACCTTTATTTTGTAATCATCACCTCCAGAGACAAACAGAGGCTGCTGTTTGTGGAAATCAATACCTCGAACGGGTCCTACAAATAGAAAGAGCAGGTTGGACACAGCAAGATGGCCAACAGTTGGAACAGTCTCTTGTACCACTTAAAGATACAATTTGCATTCCTTCTCACTCCTGTTGCTATTCATAAATTAAGAGCTTTAAGCCAACAATAAAAAGTCATGTAACAGCCTGAGATCCCATTCCCAAACCTGTTCTTTTCCATCAAGATGCCTGCAGTGGCTCATCCCAAACCACCTAGGCCCTTCAAATCTCTATTTACAGCTTCATTTTCACACCAGACACAAAACCATTACCACATTTTATACATGCACAAACCACGTTTAGAGCCAGCAAACCACCCGCAAAGAAACACAAGCTAAAACAGAGAGAATCTGAACTCAAACAGGCAGAAGGCTCAGCAACACTTCAGCAGAGCCTCCCTTCCTCCTCTCGCACCCCAGTCTTCCTCCCTAACAGGTCCCAACACCTCCCCCGCCCCGCACACTGACCGTCATGCTCGTCGAATTTGTCGATAAGGGTGCACATCCGATAATCCCACAGCTGGATGACGCCATTGTGCAGGCTAGTGAGGATCCACGGCCGCTTAGGGTGAAAGCTGAGCCCTGTCGAGGCACAGACAGACGTGACAGGGAGGCCTCCGCGCACTTAGAAGCCCTGAGGCCCGGGGGAGCCCTCCGCCCCCCGCTCAGGGACCCCAGGGGCGAGCGAGAGCTCCCGGCACAGCCCACCCGGGTCCCCCGGTCCGGTCCCGCCGTTACCTTTCACCCGGGCCGACTTAGTCTCGAACTTGGTCAGCATCGCCCTCCACCCCGGCGCTCAGCACCG